ATGTAGTTTTCCCTCTTCAAAACACTGATGTATCAATTTACCACTCTGCTACATTTGAGCCCAACAATGAGGCTATTGTAAAAGTGAACTCTATTCCCTGTTTCTAAAGATTTCATTGTGTGAAGCTATTGCATCATGCTACATAGGTAGCATAATTTTGTGAAAAGAGAACTGCTAGTCTTTTAAAACTTTTTTTATTGGTACCTATAGTAAGAAATATATTTTATACTGTATTGTGACCCACTATGTAGCATATGTAGTTGTATGTTTGTGTTCATGGATAATGGATAGATGGATGGATGGAGAGGCAGAGAGAGACTTACATATTGCTGAAAAGAGGCTTCGTGAAACAATAGTTTCCCTTACTACATGCAGCGCGTTCAGGTATTTTCCAGAGTCCAATCTACTGTATTCAATTTTGATCTATTTCATTTTTTAGAGAATGCTAGCCATGTTCCATTAAATTGATTTCATGACATACTAATGGGTCATATGAAAAATAATGTTATAGAAGACATCCTTTGCAGACGCAGCTCTGCCACTATTTCTCCATTTGACCTATGAACTCACTTTTCACTAGATGGTCATGGACTTTTCGCTGGTATTAAAATTTCACGAGTCTATCAGTTGTACTATCTCAAAAAGATCACCAAACTGCTGAAATTTTAAAATTGGCCAGGGAAATACATTTTCATTGACCAAAGTATGATAAGCAACTCTCCTCAGCAAACAAGATGGGTAAAACTGTAAGTAAAAAACTAGGCATTTTCTCTTTGTAGAGGAGATATCTTCATGACGGCGTTGGGGCGTTGTGTTTGGAGCATTTTCAAGACAGATAAAGAAGGGAATGTCACTGATGCCTGCCAAACACTTAGGGAGGTTTCTTAAGTATAAAAGATGAATTTCTGCTCAAGCTAACCAAATTATTTCCCAAAGAGTTATAAAAGCTTATGGGAAACATATGTAGTCTTCCAGTTTGTCTTTTGTTTTGTTTTTTTGCCCTTCAGTAAGTCAGGCAATATTGTATGTTGGAATGTTGAAAACAGCAATTTTAATTCTAAAGCTATTACTGGAAAATTTGGAGGCTGTTGGCTGATTTTGGAGAAAAATTTTTTTGATTGAAGTAATTTGTCTGGGCTTTTTTTCCCCAACTCGTAAATGATAGCTTCGTTTTGCCAGCTTCTCAGAATAAACTGGTAATTTTTGGAAAGTTTTTCTTCAATATTTACCTCATGTGAACTATAACAAGAAACAGGGAATTTAAAACAAGCAAAAAAAAAATAAAGTTCATTAATTATAACTCAGGTTTCATTTTCTCCGTCAGTCAAAAAGAATTTTAAGCTTGTGTTTAATCTCCTAGGAATTTTGTGCATTTTTGAACATAGTACAAACATATTTTGAGAGACTTGACTTAGACTTAACACAATTTTCATAGGCATTTCAGTGACAATCCTTAAAGAGGTAGTATTGAAAAATTCTTCCCCCAAATCTTCTAAGTAATCATTATTCAAGGGAAAGATTTTAGATAGTATTTTTAGAAATTTGATAGGAATGAAAATCAGAGAGAGGCGTCTGGAGCATTTTGTTCCACAGCAGACATGAAGCTTTTTTTTTTTTTGAGGAAGATTAGCCCTGAGCTAACATCTGCCACCAATCCGCCTCTTCTGAGCTAACATCCATGCCCGTCTTCCTCCACTTTATATGTGGGACTCTTGCTACAGTATGGCATGCCAAGTGGTGCATAGGTCTGCACCCAGGATCCCGGACTGAACCAGTAAACCCCGGCTGCCCAAGTGGAACGTGCGAACTTAACCATTGTGCAGCTGGGCCGGCCCCATGAAGCATCCTTTTTTACTTGAGAGTGATAGATACTACAGTGTAGCGTGTTCTGAACAATGCCCTCTGAGGACTGGAGAGAGTCTTTGAAGTTATCTGCTGTCATTTCCATCCAGGGCAGGGATTCTGTGCTCAGCATCCTTCAGATATGACCTAGATGGTATGGTACCTTGTCTAGATGGTATGAGGTGCACAAAAGTAAGAGCAATGTTAGAAGTAAACAGACAATGATTACTCTGTGAGTTCAGAGGAGGGAGATATTTCTGACTGGATAATTGGAGAGTCTTTACAATGGAGGGGACTCAGAAGCAGAAATTGACTTAGGAAGGACCGGTAGAATTTCACTTGAGAGAAGGCCTGGCCCAAGCAAACGTGTGGAAGTTGGAAAGCACAGAGTGTGTTTGAGGAAAAAGAGTCTCAAGGTGGAGTCTCAGTAGAATACATAATGTTGATTGCTCTCCAGGAGCACTGCAGTCACTCCTAGCAGAGCATATTTGCAAGACGGCAGGCAAAGCTTAGGCCGGTAAATTGTTTTCCTCAGTCCTAATCGAGTTAGAGCTCATAAGAGCCATGCTTCATTGGGATGAAGTGGACAAGCATCTGGGATTCCAACAAGTTGAATAAATGTGCAGCAAATGCCGTGTACTGGTGACTAATTATGGCATACCTTTATTGTGAATTATATTTACTATTATGTTTCAAAATATTTTTGCTAGCAAACGTTTGCTTTAAAAAGATGCATATCTGTATTATCTACATAAAGTTTAGATTTCATACTAGTAAATTTTTAAACGCAAAACAAATGCTTTTTCTTATTATGTATAGACACAGGGAACATGGAGGTGCTCCACCTGTATGGAAGTGAAAAGCAGAAGCAGCAGTGGCTTGAGCCTCTTCTTCAAGGGAGCATTGCCTCCTGCTTCTGTATGACAGGTAAAAGCACATCACTGTCCTCCCCCTGTACAGTCAGTCATCCCGGGGTAAAAATGGGTGAGCTGAAGAATTGTGGGTTATGGCTCTGTGTTCCATGCTCATGGCCAGAAATGTGGATGTGTTTGTTTTGAACCCAGTTTTAAATTTTGGCATTTTTAAATGTGCAGAATAAAATTGTCCTCCGCTTTGGGAGGACACCAGGTGATGTTTTCTGGTAGCCTGCTTTAGGCGTTAGCAGCAAAGTAAGCTTAGTTTCATAATCTTTTAACTTGCATTTCTAAAATTGTCATCTATGGATATTTAAGATCTTTTTTGCCCTTATGTGTGAAATATTCATCTTTGTGGTAATTTTATATTGATACCTACAAAATACTTAGCTCTGCCATAAACCCAGAAGAATAGAACTTTCACCAATGCTAGTCATACAGCTCAAATAATAATCATGTAGGGAAATGAAACCAGGAGCATGTTAATAAAAATGGGTTTGGTACCATTTGTACATAGGAAACAGTGATTATGAATTCTTCAGAGGACAAAGTCATCATTTTATAATTGAGTTTAGAATTAAGCTAAATTTCATCTGGCCATAATTTTGGCCAGGTTTTATGTTCTTCTATAACATTGAATACCTTTATAAGAGCAAAACTGACCTCCATTTAAATCAGTATGAGGCATTTATTGAACACCTGCAGTATGGTGTGTTGTCTACAAAGCACTAATTGGAGGTTACAAAATAAGTGGAGTACACAGCTCCCTTTCTAAAGGACCGGATCTGTAGTTTTAGAAATAGAACACGTGAAATATCCGAAGGACTGATTTGAAAGAGCAGCATGTTAACAAGTACAGATTACTATCATTGAGAACTAGCCTGTAAGTTCTGAAATGCCATGCAATAAGGCAGTCGTGTCAGGGCATCCCACAGAAAACGTTCTGAAGATGTTAACCATTGAGCAGGCTCTATAAATGCAAAACAAACAAATTGGTGAAAGCATTCCTGAGAGAATTTGCAAGGCACACTTAGAAATTGTTTAAGATAGTAAACTATATGGTGGGAAAATCTAGCTTGCAAATACTTAGTACAGCTTTCCATTGTGGGAGGTAAAAAACAATATTTTTAATCTACTTTTGATGGTTGGAGAGAGTGAGTTGTATCCTAAGTCATATATCAATGAGGAAGCCAAGAAAACAATACAGATTGCTGAGCCCCAGTGCTCTAAATACTTCATTTATTCATTCTTCCAATGCACATTACTAACTGTCTACTATGTGTAGATTATGGGAGAACCAGGGTGGAAGGGGAGAAGGATAGGAAGACGAAAAAACAAACATGCCTGTGTCCTCAAAGAGTTCACATTTCCTTATCTAAGTCTCTTTTGTAAACTGATGGTATCTGCCTGCCTGTAAATTCAGCCTCTGCTTATTCATAGAGCCGGATGTAGCTTCAAGTGATGCTACAAATATTGAATGTAGCATCCAACGAGATGGGGACAGCTATGTAATTAATGGCAAGAAATGGTGGAGCAGTGGTGAGTATTCAGATTGACCCTTTCTGTCAGATGCTGTGCTAGAATAATATGATACAGTTATTAGTGTCATGATCACAGTTCTTTAAATTCTGCTTTGAAAGCATTTTCAAATTTAGAAATAGTTGATAAAAAGAAAAATAATTTTAAAATAACATATCTTGATTAGGTGATGTTTATTTGAAGAGTAGAAAACATCTTTCTTTTTTTTTTTACATTTTGTGAGAGATACAATTCACGTTAGTGCACACTATTTTTGACCACCGTAATTTCTATCAAAATTAAATTTTAATAGGGGCATATTGCATAGCTTATAATAATTTATATATGATTGTTTTTAAAGAGATAAGCTGTACATGTTACCAAAAATAATTTACTGTAGTACATATTTTCATTGCTTAAAAATATAAGTATTTAAGTGACAAAAAGAGTCTTTATACATAGGAAAATATATTGTTTGTCAACCTTCAGTAACAGACTCACAGAAATGAATAAACCCTTTAGGAAGTTATAAAAACTGGAACCTAGATAAATATAATTTTCTGAGGATTGCTTCTAGAGTATACATGATAAATGTAACAGGGTAAGTAGTTTGTTACTAAGGAAAGTTGCCATGATGGAACAAATTAGGTGTTTAGAAACTTACCAGGAATGTACTAAAAGGGCCAGAAAAGCTTTCTTGTGTATTTACTTGATTGTTAATTGCTATTCTTTCTGGAGTTTTATGAAATCACTTACAAATTAAGAAAGGGGGAAAAAACCCGATAGATTGAATTTTGCTGCATAGTTCTTAAAGCACTAAAAATTATGTAAGGATATTGTTTTTTATAATTTAAAACAATTATAAATGCCCCTTAATATAAGCTTCTTTATTAATCTTTTTTAGATGACCTAACTTATAGTGTTTTTATTATTTATGCCTGTGACTACTATTTTCCGTATTGTTAATTTTAATTTTCATGTTTTGTGCATTTATGATTTTGTTTCTTCTTCTTGGATTCTTTCCTTCCTCCTTCCTCACCTTAACCTCTTCTTTGTTATAAGCTGCCACCACCGTGTTTGAGATTTGAGTTTCAGAATAATGCAGATGTTTTATCTGAGGGAGAAGATCATTCATGTGTATTGAAGCGAGAGATAGAGCAGTTTTATATTTATATGCTGAAAGTACTGGTTGGCTCTGTGGGATCTTCAGAATCGAAAGGAATCTCCTCCACATTTTGTCTTTGTCTTCTCCAGGACCCATATTTCTTGGCAACTTTCATAATGTAGTTTTTAAAAGAGGCTCCCATAAAAACATACAGGATTGGGTTGAGGCAGCTGTGGAAGAGTGCAATGCTCTCTGTGACTTGGATGGCAACATCCATGCGTTTGCTCATGTCGCAGTCGGTGATCAGGGAGTAGATGATGTCTATGGCTTGGCAGAACTTGACAATGTTATAAGGCAGCTGAGTGACAATGAAAACTATAACCACTGTGAGCAGAACTTTGAGGGGTCGAGATTTTTTAATGTTTGGCGTCTTGATAAGTGTCCTTGCTGTGAGAAAGTAGCACACTCCCATTATAAGAAAGGGTATTACAAATCCAATGCAGATTTCCAGCATTTGAATCGATGCTTTCATTGATGTTCCTAGGTGGTATGGAAAGATGGGAATGCACCTAGCTTTGTGATTTACTGTATAAAAAACCAGCTGAGGTATACTTAGCAAGATGGCAGCCATCCAGACACAGAAACAGATGAGCCGGCATGGTTTTCCCACTCCTGATGGACTTGGGGCTTTAGTTACTGCCCAATATCTGTCTATGCTGATACAAGCCAGAAACTGCATTCCAGAAACAAAGTTGACTGTGTACAAGGCTGAAGTGACTTTGCACATGATTTTCCCTAAAACCCACCCATGAACTGCATTAACTGCCCAGAAAGGCAGAGTGAATAGAAGGAGTAAATCTGCCACAGCCAGATTCAAGATGTATACATCTGTTTTGGTTCTTTGCTTCTTGTAATAGGCATAAATCGCCACTACTGTGGAATTGCCTGCAAGTCCAATGATGAAAGCTACTGAGAAGAAGGCAGGCAGGAAAACTTTTGCAAATTTTCTGACCTCTTCTTTTATACAGATCACTTCATACTGACTGTAGTCGTGAGTGTTGTTCATTTCATTTTCCTCATAATAGTAGTCTGTTGACTGGTTGTGTTCCAAAGCCATGCCTCCTATCTAAATGGCAAGAAGAATATAGGATATTCATTTTAATATTGCTTAAAAGGAAACAGTTTTTAGCTTGCATATGTTTTGTTCTTTTACTAGAGAATAGATTGTTGCCATAAAATACATGAGCCTGAATCTGCCACTCTTTGAAACTCTAATGGAAGCCACACTGGAGTATGTCCCCAAGATCAGTTCTTCGTCCTTTGTTTTAACAAGTCTGTGTGCAGGAGCTGGGATTTACATGGGGAAGATAAAAACAATACACTGGGGAATTTACTGAATCATTTAACTCCAAATAAAAGGAAAGACTTTTATGTAAAATTAGTCTTTAAAATATGAAAATTTAGTCAGATTTCAACTAAAAGGAATAAAAAATGTTATAATTTTTACATATAGAACTTTGTGATTCTTATGCAGTACAGTCATGCATCACTTAACAACAGGGATGTGTTCTGAGAAAAGTGTTGTGAGGTGATTTCGTTACTGTGTGATCATAGAGTGCACTTACACAAACCTGGATGGTATAACCTACTACACACCTAGGCTGTATGGTACTCATTTTATGGGACCACTGTTGTGTATGTGGTCCATTGTTGACCAAAATGTTGTCATGTGGTGCATGACTGTATATCAACAATAAAGAAAACATTAAAATAAATTACTTTGGGGCCAGCCCCATGGCCAAATGGTTAGGTTTGCGTGCTCTGCTTCAGCGGCCTTGGGTTCTCTGGTCCGGATCCTGGGTGCAGACCTAGCACCGCTCATCAAGCCAAGCTGAGGTGGTGTCCTACGTAGCAGAACTAGAAGAACCCACAACTACAATATACAACTATGTACTAGGGTGGCTTTGGGGAGAAGAAAATAAAAGGACTGGCAACAGCTGTTAGCTTAGCACAAATCTTAAAAAAAATTAAATGTTATTTTATTTATTTAAATAAATTCATGTAAATAAAATAATTTATTTTATTTTTATGTTATTTATTTATAATTTTTTAAAACAAGTTAAATAAATTATCTCAGCATTTATACTTAATTCATTAGTTGGCTTTTATAAAACAAAGTCTCCTCTAGTTAGTTTCCCTCCAAAACCTGTCACTACATCTTCATTGTATACTCCTCTTCGGTAGCAGCCATTCCACTAGTCACCTAAGCCTTAAGCCTCCACCATCCTTGACTTCTCTCTTACCTTCATCCTTGATTTCCTGTCAGCCCCTAAATTCTGATTTTACCTTCCAAATACATTTCAAATCTCTCTCTTCCTTTTAATCTGTGCTCTTTGACACATCCACACAATTCGACCATAATTCTTTCTTACCTGGCCTACAAAAATATCTTCCTAACTGGTATCCTACTGTTCTTATTTCTCCTTACCACCTCCTTGTCAAAAACATTTTTCTTACTGCCACCAGAGTACTATATCTCTAATGTGCCAGTCTGTCACTTTCCTGCTTAGCTCCTTAACCGAAAGACACAAATCTCTTCACCTGAGAGATACAATCCAAGCTTCTTAGCATGGTACCCAAGCCTCCCTCCATAATGTGGTCCTACCCAGGGTTCCTGCTATCTCTCTCCACCATGCTTCCCGCACCATAAGCAGTAACCGTGCTGTAATCGATTTGCCAGCAGTTTGCTGGCACACACATGCTGCAGCACGTCTCTGTCATTACTCATTCTGTTCCTTTAATATTCTATTTCCTGCCCTTCCCTTGAAGGGCCAGTTCCTACTCACTTAACTTGGATGTTGTCTCCCCAGAAGACTTCTTGATTCAGTAGTTATTATCTACCTACCTCGCAGACAACTGACCTCATCCTATGGAAGAGATGTGCTTCCAAGACTACCTTTTCCCTCTACATTCTAAGTTCCCTAAGAGTATGACCTTTTGGATTTATGTTTGTAGTTAATATCTTCTAGAGTACCTGGCACACACTGGCTGCTCAGTAAATATTTGTCAAGCTAAAGGTTGTACTGGCAGGTATAAAGCTCTTAGTCTAGAATGGATAGCTGGTATACCAGGAATCTCTGTCTCATTGTTACGTTATTTTACTGTATTGGCTATTAACACTGTGTAGTATTAAGATAAGTTTGCACAGAATTCACAAGTGTTAAAATGTATCTAATAAGGACTTTCAATGTTTTTCTTGTAGTGCTGAGTTTTGTTTTCCTTTGTCCTTAGCCTTTCTGTCTCCCTTTGGTTATTTTTGTCCTTGGAAGAATCTCAAATATTCTTACAGGATCATTAATAAAAATATTATTTTCAAAACAGTGTGCCAACTTATGGTACACTTTCAAAAGAATATTCTTACACCTGCTAACCCTTTTTGGATGAGTAAAGCAAAGTAAAGAAGGCCCCTTGAGGAAAGATTCCACATAGAATAACTGCTTTCATTATGTAAAAACCAGGTGCCAACAATTTAAAATGACTATTTTTATCCTTAAATTTATTTGAAAAGTTCCAATCTGAAAGACTAATCTGGTCTTCATTTTCTTATGCATTAATTATTAACACAATATGAACTTTGTTCTTTCTTCTCTTTCATCACAGAAATCTTGAACCTGATGATAAGGGATAATATAGCCAAATAATATAAGATAGTAAGGCAGGGTATTTTTAAATAAGAATTAGTCTTACTAAAAATGGGAGTAAATAGGAATAGGAATGGAAATCATTTTCAGAAATGATCTTTCTGGCAGATACATAGAAAGACATTTAAATACCTTTATAATTACGAGAACAAAAAAAATTGTGTTTTTGTAAAACAAAGCAGAAAAAAATGGTAGAGCAAAACCTATTTTCTCGTTAACAAAGTATTATAGGTAAGTAATGATATTAAAATAATACTGTCTTGCTATATTCAGATTTTTGTTTTAAGGTTATAGTGTATGGCTCTTTCAAATACCTCTTTTTTACACATGTAAACATTTAGACTTTAAAGCATATACAAAGTCTTTAGCCTTTAAAAAAAAAAAAGTCATATTCAAGTCACAATGAGAAAAGAAAGAAAAAACCAACCTGTTTCAGTGAGCAGAGAGGAGCAGTCTTGAGTGCAGAGAGTAAATCAAGTGACCTCTCTAACTCGGGCTACTTTTGTTTTCGTTTTTCACCCCGCCTTTGTCTTGCATCCAAGAGGGCTTTCCCGAAATTTAACCTCATGAGCTCTTGATTTTATGCATTACCATCCTGTGAAGTCAAATCTGGGTTCTTAAGTGTCCTAGGATACAAACTTGAAAGAATTCCATCTTGTTTCAAAACTACAGACCTTACAAAGTTTCCACTTAGCCGAAGGCAACAAGAAAGTGCCTGCAGCTAAGGCACTGAGTACCTAACCAAAACAACTCACCCTAGGGCACCAAGGCAGCCAGCAAGCACTTGTAGGCAGCATCGAGAGAAGTACTCTCTGAAGTTGTCTTGTCTAAAGAAGAAAAAAGTAATAATTTTAACTCAGAAAATTATCTTTTTAAACACTAAATTATCAAAGACTACATTCTGAGTAATCATTAGGCATTTATAGTGGAACTGAATACTTTTTATGCCACATCACTTAATATTTTACATATTAGACTCCTCTTGGCTTCACTGTATTCCTCTATCCTTGACCCTAGAGTATGCCTTTCCCCATGACTTTAAATTCTCTTGCCTTCTTGTAAACTTTTTCTTCAAAGACCAGCATATAAACCTTCAAAATCCTTCTGTCTGGAGATGTTATTTTTCTCACACTTCCAAATAAATGAAAGTTAGAGAAAGGAGAGAAATTTATGCAGATTTAGCCTTTGTGGTCCGTTTAAACTTGACTCTCCTTGTATTTGCATAACAGTTCCTTTGTTTACTTTCTCATGCGAGGCTAGGCTCAGTCTCCACCTGCACAAGTTATTTCAGGCTCATGCCATTTTTTCTCCAAGCAATTGATGTAACTTTCTTGTTGATTAACAGAAAGGAGGCTCTAGGCCACTGGGGACTTCATCTTCCTTTGTCTTCCCACAGTGTGTGTCTGAGGGTACAGCCAGCTTCTCCTAGTTATCCATCAGTCTCTGAGGAAGAGTTTTTGCATGCAGCTAAACCACTCACCAAGAAAAAAGTGCCTGATTTGTGGTGTTTTCCATTTTCCATGGGGTAAATACTCCCATCAATTTTAGCCTACAAATGTGAAGTCATGAAGGCAGAGTTGCTAAGAGATGAGCATAATCAGCTCTTGAGTGGGCTCTACCACACTTAGTCCAAAAAAGGCATCTCTTCTCCTTACTGTGGATGATCATTTCTGTGATCTCTTGCTCCCTTCTGCAGGACACAGCCCTTAATGTTATCCCTGCCCTGGCTAGGCTGTCTGGTCTTTCCCCTTCTCTTCCCTCTTGTTCTTGATCTTATGTGTATTGGTGCAGGAGGAAGTAAACAAGCAAACCCTCCGCTAAATTCTTAGAGTGGCCTGTAAGATCCCACAAGATCTGTCTCCATCCCTCATTGCCTCTCTGACCTGATTTTGAACTGCCTGCTCCATTGCTTGCTTGTTCTGCCACACCGAGCTCCTTGCTATTTTGAAATGTACCAGGCACATTCCTTCTTAGGGCTTTTGTACTGGCTCTTCTATCTGCCTAGAATGTGTTTCCTCTTAATATTTGCAAGGCTCAACTCCCTCATCTCTTTCAAGTCTTTATCTAGTCACTACTTCCTCACTGAAGCAATCTCTGACTACCCTATTTAAAATACCCCTCACCTGCCTGTACTCCCAATCCACCTTACCCATAGCACTTATCATGTGCAAATGCACCATATCATTTATATTTGCTGTCTATTATCTCTTGCCCTGTGTTAGAATCTAAGCTCATCAGAGCAAGGACTTTTGTTTGCTTTGTTCACTGATTTTTCAATCAATTGATCTATCATAGATATATATATCATTCTATATGTATTTTATTCCATATATATGTATATATCATATATAACATATATATGAGCAAAATGTCATTATGTGGCGCATGACTATATTTAAAAGTATCTATCCCTTTTCTTTGTTCCCCCCTCACAACCACATGCTTTCTTGTAAATAGCTTTCCCTTCTTGTAAGTCAGTTATAATGCTATAATCTTTACATCTTTTGAATTTGCACACCATTTTTGCTAATTCAAACCATACCCAGCCCTTGGGGCAGAAAAGACCTCAGGATCAAGCTTCTTCTGGTAGTATATAGGGAGTCACACTTGTGTATGAAACATGGTGAAACTACCTAATTGTCTGGCTTTTTCCTATATTTTCCTGTTCTCCACACAGAACTACAAGAGGTGGTGTTAATAGCCGAGACTTGACAAAACATGAAAGGCAGTCATATAACTTGGAGGCTAGGAAAAGGCATCACTTATATTAGGCAACTTTTCAAAGTGCTTACTTGATGTTTCTTTTAGTGCCTTTTGGTGCGGGCGGGGGGCCTTCCCTTCGATGTTTTCTCTTATCCCTAAGAACAGAGTCTTTATGATTCCAACTGACTACTCACCATAAATTGTCTCTCACCCTTACCTGCCCTAATATAGCAATATCCCTTGTTCCTGAAGAATCTCTCTCTCCACACCCATTTTCATCCTTCCTCTTGTAGCCCCATTTTGCTCATTAATAGATATTTGGAAAGTAATCTGACTAAACTATATACTACATTATCACGGAAAATACCATTGATATTGAGATATGTATTGAGCATTACTTAGATAATCTTATGATTTCTCTTTAGTGTCCATATTGCGTGTTGAATTCATATTATGTATGAGTTTTTTACTTAGCATTTTTGCTTAAGCATTTTATGTTATTCTAAACTCACCATAAATGGCATTTTTAGTAGCTAAATAATATTTTATTATATGGATTACCATAATTTGCCTTACCATTCAACTGTTGTAGGACTTTTAGAATGTTCCCAGTGTTTTGCTATTACAAGTGATGTTGTATCTTTGTAGATATTGTGGGAAACTGCACTTAATCTAATCTTACTGAGGAGTATTGAAGAATGTGATTAACCATGTATAACTTATTCCTTTTTTTCTTACACAAAAGATAGCATTCTCACTATTCACACTGTAGAATAATCTTAAAGTTCTTTTAGATAAGTGTGTAGAAAGCTTCCTTATTCTTTTTAGAAGGGTTCCATTATATGGACATACCACAGTATATGTAAATAGTCTCCTATTGATGGATATTGGTTTATGCCCAATTACTTACAAATACAAACAATAATACTGCAATGCATAATCTTGTACATGTGTCATTTCCTTCAGGAACAGCTGTATCTGTAGGATAAATCCCAGAATTGGATAAGTGGATCAATGGGTAAATGAATCTGTAATTTTGATGGATATTGCCAAAGTGTACTCCACAGGGCTAGTATTACTCTGTACTGTCACCAATAATGTATGGACGTGTCTATTTCCCTAGAATGTTGCCAATAGAATGTCTTATTTCACTACCCCTTTGCTTTCTGAATGACTTATAACAGATTCAGTACCTCCCCTTTCCTTTCCAGCTATATGAAATATTTTCCCTAAATTGTTTTTTCACTTTTTACTTTTGTTTTTTAATGTACAGTAGTTTTATACAGATAAACCAATTGATCTTTTTCTTTTGATTTCATTTATCATTTTTAAGTTTAAAATTTCTTTCCCATCTAGAGATTTCAAAAATGCTATTTTTCATCTAGTTTTTTATGGCTTGATTATTTAAGTTTTCAAAAAATTTTCAGCTCTCATCTATTTGGACTTGATTTTGATCCAACCATATTCTGTAACAATGTCAGCAGTAGTAGTAGCATGTAACACTTATTGAATACTTATTAGATATAAATCCTCCTAGAGGTGAAGTAAGTGAATTTCAAAGGGTTTCCCCCAATAAAAATAACACATAGGATCCAGTGTCAAGACAGTGGTATAGGAAGACTCTGAACTCACCATCGCCCATGGACACAACAAATTTACAACTACTCTTGGAACAATTACTCCTGAGAAAGAACTGAAAACTGAATAAAAAGAACCCTCATAACAAAGGACACTGCTGACTGAGGTGGAAGAGGCAGAAACTCCTTCCTAGAAAGAAAAATGCCACCTTCAAGCCATGGTACTTCACTGCCAGCTGAGAGCAATCTTAAGGTATGAAGCTTTTCCTGGAGGAGCAGGGGATCTGAGTGGAGGAGCTGTCCCACAATAAGCAGCTTTTGGACTCAGCACAACCAAGACAAGTGTCATAATATCTGGCTTTGCTGCCTACTAACAGCAACGGGGAATACCCTCAGAAAAGCTATCAGACATAAGGCAAAAAAAAAAAAAACACAAAAAACCCTGCTCTTAAAGGGCCCATACACAAACCCACCCATTTGGGAAAGCAACCTAAAATCACCAGAAAGTAAGGTGTACAGTCCTTTGGTGAAAAGAGACTCACTTGGTAGGCTCTCAGTGAGAGATGAGACCTCCCTAGGGACTGAGACATTGGTGGCAGCCATTATTGTGACCTAGTACAGGCATGCTGACACGGATGCTGGCAGACACCATTAGAGTTCTTCCCCTGGTGTTTCAGCCCAGGGGACTGCCCCACACTTCCAAGCTCAGCCAGGGCAGGCAGCCCACCCTAGGGACTGGCCCCACCCAACAGCAAGCCCTCAGGAAACTTCTGGGCGCACATAGGTGCCTGCATAGGTGTCTGGAACCTTTGCAGCCAGGCGAGTGGGTCCGCCTCTGTGGGGCAGGGTTTGCATGAGGTGCAGGCCTGTGTTAGTAGAGTGTGGGGGGCCTCTGCAGTGGGGCGAGTGTGTCTGCTTCAGTGGGTCAGGGTGTGTGCACTGTTGACAGGGTGTGTGGCCTGCAGGTGGTGGGGCTTACAGCTGCAGCAGACTTGTGCTTCTCAAACAGCCATGTAGGGGATCAGCCCCACCTTCCAAAGTCTATGCCTGGGGCTGGCTCTACTCAGCTGCACTCCTGAGAGAGCTGACAACAGCCTTACAAGTCAGAGGCCTGGAGCAATTGTAAGCCCCTGAGCCTAACTAGCCACCCTGGGAGCATACTCACTTAACAGAAAAACTGCAACTGGAATACTAGACCTCAGAGCCAACTGTGCTAGGGCTCCCCACACCTGATAGAGTGGCTGAAGGGATAATAGCAACCACACGCAGCTGAGCATTACCACCAATTGGCCA